TCTCTCTGTCTGTCTGCCTGCCTGGCTGTCTGTCTCTGTCTCTGTCTCTGTCTCTGTCTCTGTCTCTGTCTCTGTCTCTGTCTCTGTCTCTGTCTCTCTCTCTCTCTCTCTCTCTCTCATTCATTCGTATCCCAGGCGAAAGACATTCAGACCATGAGCGCGATGTGGGAGAATATCAAGCATCCTGCCAGCAAGTGAGGGTGGCCAAGCGTAAGAGAAGCTTGAGGATTTTCAGGATTGCTTCCATGAGTTAAAGACACCCTGCGCGGAACGAAGGGCGCATAAGCCGCATCAGCTTCTGTAACGCAGGCACGAGATGAGCCGGGTGGAGCTGGGAAGGGATCGTCTGCCACGGCGACTGGATATCCAGAGCCCCGGAACCACAGGCAGCGGAAACCATTTCATGAAGATGAAAACATGTGCTTGTGACTGCATATCATTCTAGCAGCTGCTAGCAGATTGGCACTAGAAGTGCGCCGCGATCTGCAGATGTTGACGTAGGATGCATTGGGTGGATAACGAGATTAAACCGGAGTCTTGCCAAGACTGCTTTGCGCAGCTCTTGGTGGATGCTAATTGGGATACCGGAAGTCCACTTGCTGAAACAGGGCCGGACAGCGTAGGCAGTGGACAATGCTCGAATGTTCATCTAAGTTCTTCTGAATTTTGCAGGGGAGACTTGTTCTACTGCACAACTTGGGACCTCTAAGAGTTGACCAGCACATTTTGGCCAGGAGCGCTCCCCTTTCGTGAAGCGATTGGCATGAATGACAATGGGCCCGTCATCCCGCCACCTGGCAGCAGATTCACTTGGGGGTTTGAGCTCTTGTTGCTTAATTGGCTCAGGCGACGGGATCCGCACAGCATGAGAACGCCGTCCTCCTCCTCGCAGACCAACCCCAACGAAGAGCCTACTTCCTCTGGTCCCAGCGGCGGCTCGACCTCCGCTGGTTCGAACTCTGGCCTCAGCGTTCTCAATGCAATGTCGCGATCCGTAGACGGGCATTTGGGACTTGGTGGCTTTACCCATGGACCCGCCAGCTCAACACGACGGAAGGGAAAGCGTCCCTAGACCGTGAGCTTGGAGGACCTTCGAAGAGCTCGAGGCCTTCAGGGCCCTCGCTTGTGCTCAGATGCGTCCTTTGTAACTTATCAGCAGGCCCGCGGGTGCAAGAAAGTCTGCTGCCTATGCCACTGATAGTCGTCTGTCATGTAGAATGACTCCGCATGACGCATAGGAATCTTCAGGCAACTGGTGGACCTTGGCCCAGCAGGAGGCTCTTTGTTTAAAGTCGAAATCGGAAAGCCCAGCTACAGGTCCGAACAGGCCAGATCAAGAGTCCAGGGCGCTTCATCGGACCTGTGCTGGCGCTGTGGAGGCCTCTGCGGTTAGGACAGGAGAATACTGCACGAGGACGCAGCATCTTGTTGGGTAAGGTGAGAGAATGCGCCTTGAGAACATCGCAGAGTCGTAATCATGGAAGTCGTTTACCTGACTCACCTGGCCCAGCATGTGCCAACATTTGTTAATTGATTTGGCCAGCGGGGGCAAGGCATCGGGCGAACAAAGGTGGGATGCATCTGACTTTACGCCCCTCCCTTGGCCTTGTTTGCATGCGCTCTATTCAGATTTTCCTGTCTCTCCTGCACCCCATCCGAGCAATCCTGAGGTCCTGAGGTGTTTTATTGAGGTTTCACCAAAGTTTCACCCGTACACAGCTAAGGGATGGAGGCAGCTCGAGGCTTGGGAGAGCCACTCGCAGAATCCGACGCCATCGCCGTTCGAGCGGTTAGCTCTGACTTCTTTTGCCGCGAGTCTTCAACAGATGTCAAGCATGCTTGTGGATCTTGTTAGAAGTTGCAAGAACGGAGCAGGTGAGGAGTTGGAATCCATGCCGGAAAATTTTAGCATCCGGCGGCGAAAGCCCACCAGCAAGGGGACTGATTGTAAAGCTCTGGTGCTACATGTGTCCCAACCCAAGGGGCTTGAGATGTGTGTTTGCAGCTGATGCGTTGTGCCAAGCTTTGTCCAGTAAATACCTTGTAGGACTTGGGCTGAAAGTCGCGACTGAGCCTTTGCAATTCGTCGCAAGCCTGAGTGAGAGATGCAAGAGCTGTTAGGAGGCTCTTTCTTTACTGGTGTGCCTGAAGCCATGCGCAGAATTCAGGCTCTTGTAAGTCTGTAGCTATAGCCGTTGCCTTCAGTACACCGTCCACCCTGTCTTCAAGCGAGACTTGCTCACAGAACGGTGAAGCATAGCACCGTCTGAATGGACAGCGAAGTCCAATCTCCAGCTTGGCTCACTGGCTGCCAATGAAAGTTGGCCATACTTGCATCCAATTAGTCTCACAAGAGGGTGTCGCTTTATCATTGGCAGCCTTGTCGACCCGCTGTACATTACAGGCACCTGGCATCAAGGCCAGCACACCGCGTGTTAATGGACATGCTTGCGGCTTGGTGCTGAACGACGCTATGCCTCGCTGTGAACGAAAGTTCCTTGTCGCTGTAGACTGAAACGCAGGCCCCAAGTCATTGACTTTGCCAAGCATTCGTGCTTTGCCGCATCCCAGGCTGAGTCGCTAGCTTGAGTGTCTGCAGCAACAGCAGACCAGAATACAATCTACAATCTGCAAATGTGCATCTTTTCTGCATGTCTCAATGTTGGGCGCGCCATTGATGGTCTCTTTGCGCAATGCAAGGCACTGGCTCATCGCTTCCAGTTCTTTGGACTAGCGCAGGAATGACGCTGTACAGTAGCTTGTAATTCCGAAGCCCCTTTGAAATTACGCATTGTAATTCCAGCATTATGGCATAGCTTGATGCAAGACAGGACCTTGAACATTGCAATCTTCATGCAAAAAGACCTTGAGGACTGTACCCCCCAATAGCTATTGCACTTTCCAGCAGCTTGGTACAAGGGGAGAGCCTGGCGAAGCCCCGGCCAAGCCAAGCCTGCTCTACTCCTGTGGTGAAATGAAAGGCAAGAGGAAATCTTCGTAGCCAAGGCAAGCAATCGACCACCTCGAACTGTCTTGCTGTTTCTTGAAGCTTTGGGTATCTGTAGACACAAATTTGGTTGCTTTTGATCTTCGAGTGTTGATCCCAAGTTGATTGATTGATCCCTTGCCTGGAGTCCGGAGAGGTACGAATACGTGGATATCCATCACGGGAGCCGGGGCGTGCGACGATCTTATCTCGAAAGCCATCTGATGCGATGACGAGGCCTGATTTGCTCGAAAGAAATCTTCATGCAAGTTTATGCAGTCTTTCCGTCTGTGCTGAGCGCCTTTCCTGCAAACAAGGGCTCCCGCCATATACGCCTACGATGTGCCCAGCTGCGCCCGGAACGAGGCACGCCACACAGCATGACCATTGCAGTCCTCACCAAGCAAGCCATACTACAATTGACTGACCTCCAATCATTGAACTTCCAGTCTTGATTTTGCTTGTCAGCAGACTTGCATTAGTGCGCTTAGGCCCCTCCGTCTGTCCCGGCACGGCGCAGCAGCTGTAAGACGCATGTCAAAGGGCGCCCAACTGTCATGAAGGCAATTGAGGCATTGTCCTCGCCGACGTCCGGGCTTCGCGAGAGTGCAGTCCCAGCATGATTGACAGCCAACCATTCATGTCGAGTTGTTGCCGAAGTCATGCCAGTGCCAGGAAGAGCTTCACGTCAGAGGAATGTTGCAGCAGATTGTATCAATCGAGGACGCAGCAAGAACTGCATGACGGTCAATACTGTCCGAAAGAGATCCGAAGGCCACGCGAGAAACATCATCTCCGTCGCACGTTTTCTCGCAGGACCATCTTGATCGATACCATCGGGTGGACAGACCAGAGGCAGGAACCCCGATTCCCCGGTGCACGATTCCAAAAGTCTAGCCTGTGGTTGAAGTGCCTTCCGCTTGCCATGGCACAGATGGATTGCTCATGGGGCTGCGGCTGGTGAGAGGGATTGAAAAGCGAGGGCTGGCTGTGGTTAGATGTTACAATGTTGCTGCATGACCGGTGCCTAGGCCGCATCACTCTTCTGGGTGCAGGCCTGAGCCATCCGTCGGGCAGGTCATTAAGTGACAAGGCCCCAGAGAGACCGACTAGAGCGGAAGGCGTGCAGTGGGGAGGTGCTTGGCAAGCGGTTTGTGCCTTCGAGGTTCCGGCATACTTCCCCGTACTCTTCTGGTTGGACCAGCGAACACCTGAGCCAAATGCCCCATGCTTGGAAAGTGCTTGTGCACTCGAAGTCCAGCTGAGTTGGGCGAAGCACCTTCAGTGGAGTCCTGACGGGTGTTCTGCAGCACTTTTTGACAGCGATGTTTGGAGAGGCAAGCCATCTTCAATGTGTGCGAGACGTTGTGAGCATGCTCCAGCAGTCAAGGCCAGAAGGCTTGCTGGTTTGTTCGTATGTTTCCTTGTTTGTTGCAAGAGGTCTTTCTGCAGAAAGCAACATGCAGGTACTTCTCCAGGAACGCCGGGTACGATCATCTCCTTCTGTATGGATATGAGTATCCGCACTGGAAGCGATTCAGGCTGGATTGACCATCTTTGAAGCGAAGCATTTCAGCTTGAGATACTTGACCGACCTCAAAAATCTTTTCGGGTCCGGTAGAAAGGGCGTCGTCGCCTTCCTTCGGCTCCCCAGCAGCGATACTAGTAGCATGAGGAATGCAAGACGATCGATTCCTTAGTCCAGGGCCAGGGCCCCCAGTCTTAGTCTTGACACATCTTGAAAAGCTTTCCCTCCAAGGCCCAACTGAACCTCTGACCCTCCGCTCCTGCGTGGCGCCATGGCGCAGGGCGACCCTGCAGAGGAGGCTGCACTAGGAGATGCGGATACACTCGGCGTGCCTCGGGCTCCACCCTCTCAGTTTTGATGAGGCGTCCGAGACTTCGACCAGCGCAGCCCGGGTGCTCTCCGCTGTTGAGAAGGTGCGAACCCGATGCCAGGGCAATGTACCTGTAGCTACCTGCTGTCACTCATCCGTGTGAGGAGTTGAACTCAAGTGTTTGCTGACAGGTGCTGGACGAGTGGCTCGCTTCCCGGCCGCTCTGGCTGTCACGCATTGCCAACATAGCCACGCTTGGCCGTCGAACTGGTCACCTCGGCACCTTCGTCTTAGCCGGGTAAACGCCACTCAGGTTACCGGATTGCACCGCGCAGGTGTTTGGCACACAGAGTACATTGCGTACAGAACTCTTGGCAGGACATTGCGCTTTGCAGGCAAAGTTCGCAAACTGCAGCACTGGCACCGCAGCAACCTTCCATCGCTTCCTTCCAAGGCCAAGAAGTTCATCCAGGACAAGATCTGCAAAGAGAACGACGAGGCACAATGCACAGCATGCTAAAGTAGCTTTGCGCGAGGGTTCAGATCTTACTTGCTGCTTCAGATTCATGGTGCTTTTTCTGAGCTCAGGAGTGCAAGCGTGTTCGGCAATGGCTGCTGCTGCGCATGAATGGACGGATATGGGAGCATGGCATGGCTCTGATGTGTCGGTCGCCTGACAACGTGCATGACTAAGCTTCGCCTTACGACCAGATTGCCAGATGATCCGACGAATCACCTGCTAGCTGATGACATGGACACATGCATATATGAATAGGCTACCCCCCGCGGGTCATCTACCCCTTCCGCGGGGGGGGGGGGGGGGGAGGAGGGTTGGACTGAATGGTCCGCTTGGCGGACACACATCGAAGCTTATTTAGTAAGGGTCACAAAAAGAGAACAGAATATCCTGTAAAATACCCCTTATACATACCCGATAGAATACCCTCTGCACTGCCTTATGGAATGACCGAGAGAATCCTTTTAGACTACCTTATAGAATATGCAGTTCCCCCGATATACCCTACATATACAT